CCCCCTGCCTGCCTGTCCCCGTCCCCATCCCATCCCATCCCGTCCCCATCCCCATCCCATCCCGTCCCCATCCCCATCCCCATCCCATCCCCTCCCCATCCTGCCTGTCCCTGTCCCCATCCTGCTGCCCTCCCTCCTGTCTGTCCCCTTCTTGCCTGTCCCTGTCCCCATCCCATCCCGTCCCCATCCCCATCCCATCCCGTCCCCATCCTGCTGCCCTCCCTCCTGTCTGTCCCTCTCCTGCCCTGGCTTCATCTACCCGTCCCTGTCCCCATCCCATCCTGCCCATCCTCCTCCTCCTTTGTCCCCATCCTGCCCCGGCCTCTCCCCATCCCATCCTGCCCCCAATTCTGCCCCGGCCTCATCCTGCCCGTTCCTGTCCTGTCCTCACCACATCCTGTACCCACCCTGCCCAGCTCTATCCCATCCTCTCCCCATCCTCCTTTTCCCCACCCTGCCCTGGCCTCATCCTGCCCGTTCCTGTCCTTTCTGTCCCTACCATATCCTGTCCCCATCCTCTGTCCCTGTCCTGCCTCTGTCCCCATCCCATCCTCCCTGTCCCCACCCTCTCCTGTCCCACTCATCTGTCCCCAAACTGTCCTGTCCCCACCCGCTCTGTCCCCATTCCATCCTGTCCCCATCCTGCCTGTCCCTGTCCCATCCTGTCCCCATGCTGTCCCCATCCTGCCTGTCCCCATTCCATCCTGTCCCCATCCTGCCTGTCCCTGTCCCATCCTGTCCCCATCCCATGCTGTCCCCATGGTGTGAGGACAGTGGGTTGGGGGACCTCCTGCTGGGTTCCCACCAACACTGGGACACTTTTTCACCCTGGGAAAAAAAAAAAACAACAACCAACCCTTTTTGCTGGAAAAACCTCATGGGAGCAGGGCTCAGGTGCCCCATCTCTGGGCCAGCACTATGATGGCACCTCAAAATAACCCCCCAGCCCTTTGCCCGTGGTCCCACCACGGAGCCACCTGAGGAAAATGGGCCAGAACTGGCTGAATTCCCAAGGGCAAGGCCAAAAGAAGATGGGAAATGTGGGCATCTCCCAGGGCCAAGGGGCTGGGAGGGGCCAGGCCTGTCCTGCCCCAAGTTGGGGGCTTGATGGCTGCAAGGGGACAGCAGGAGCAAGGAGAAGCAAAGCTTGGGGTGAGCATCGCTCTGAGATCCCCCACTCCTGGGTCTGGGTGCCATGTCCCACATCTCTGTCACTCAGCCTTGTCCCCTGCCCCCATCATTCCACGTCCCACGTCCCCACTGCTCCATGTCACACATCCTTGCCACTCAGCCATGTCCCATGGCCCCATCACTCCATGTCCCACATCCCCGTCACTCAATGTCCCACATCCCATTGCTCAGCCATGTCTCACGTCCCCATTGCTCCATGTCCCACATCCCATTGTCCAGCCATGTCCCATCACTCCATGTGCCCATCACTCCATGTCCCACATCCCTGTCACTCCATGTCCCACATCCCATTGTCCAGTCATGTCCCATCCCTCCATGTCCCCATCACTCAGCCATGTCCCACATCCCTGTCACTCAGCCATGTCCCATGACCCCACCACTCCATGTCCCACATCCCTGTCACTCAGCCATGCCCCATCACTCCATGTCTCCATCACCCCATGCCCCACGTCCCCACCAGCCACGTTGCACATTCCCACATCACCCCACTCCCCTTCTCCCCCTCCCACCAGTCACCCCAAGAACCCAAACCACCCCCTCCCCAAACTCCAGTGCTCCCTTCACCCCCCCCTCCCCACAACCCTTCACACAAGTCCCCTCCCTGTCCCCAAGGTCCCCACCAGCAGCTCCCAGAGCAGCCCAACCCCTCGCCCGTCACCAAACCCCACCTCCCCGCTGCCAAACCCCACGAACACAACCCCGGCTGACACCAGTGTCCCCCCACCATGCCCACCCCACACCTGGCCCTGCTCCTGGTGCTGCTGCTCCTGGCCACCAAGGCTGTCCCCTGGGGACCCCCCGGTGATGTTGTCCCCACCAGCGCCCGCCTTTGTGCCCAGGGCACCGGGCGCTGCCGCCGCTTCTGCTTCGACCACGAGACCCAGAGGGGACATTTGGGTTGTCCCCGGCGCCACCGGTAAGACCAAACCCCCCCCTTCCCCTTCCCCCTTTTTTCCCCTCCAAAACAAACCCCATGACTTTTTTTGGGGGGTGGTTTCTCCTGCTCCTCCAGGTGCTGCGTGCCCAACACGTAGCTGTGGGACGGAGCGGGAGGTGACGACGCTCGGGGCCATCCTGGATCCTGCCCCAGCAGGGTTGTCTCCCTCGGGATTTTCCCAGTTCTAACTGGATTTCACCCGGTTTGGAAGGATTTTATTTGGCAGCTCCACAGGGGGGGGGGATTGGGGATTGGACAGGAGGACGGTGCCACCAGTGGGATGCCACAACCTGTCCCCCTGTGGAGCAGAATAAAAAAAAGGAACCTACCAAGATTTGTGTGCTTCTTCCCATGGGAATACGGGGTGGGACTCAGTTTGAGCCAGGAAAGTGAAGAAAACAGGATTTAAAAACAGTAAAAAAGGGGAATTCTCTGTCACAGAGGCAGAAATGGATGGGATTTCCATTGAAACCTCCACTTTGGGGTATTTTCCCCCAGGGAACCAGCTGCTCTGGGCGGCACCTCTTCTACTTTTTCGGCTGCTACCAGCTGAAAAATGGCCATTTTTGGTCAAGCAGCAGTGGCACCAACATCCCAACCCTCAGCAGCTCCTCCACGGCTCCCCCAGCACCTGCCTGACGGGCGATTAAAAAGCCTGTTCCTTAAATCAGAGCGACACGACGCCGAGTCTCCGGAATGCCCGTGGTGAGGTTCTGGGAGAGAGGGAGGGAGGGAGGGAAGGAGGGAATCGTCCCTGAAAAAAACGGGTCAGTTTTAAAAAGCTTCGAGGCCCTGCTCGCCGGGGCTGGTGGTGTCCAAGCTGAAGAGGCAGAAGGTGATTTCCTGGCAGGGGTTGGTTGTGCCGCACTCGAACAAGCAGCCGAAAATGCCATCGGGACACGAAGCCAGGTCGGAATAAGCGGCGGGGCCCGGGTGCAGCAGCCAGGGGGGCTGCCAGGCCTCCCCGTCCCTGGGCCGGCGGGTCACATAAAACCCCAGATC